AAAAAAAAAAAAAAAAAACTTTTCTCCTCTTAAAGGTGGCCTTTTAAAATAAAAAATAAATATTTCAATCAGAAACCTGAAATAAAATCCTAATAAATACTTGTATGCTAGGTATGGCACACCAGCATTTATTATTTCAAATATTGGTCTCAAAAATGCATTCTAAATTATAGGATCCATCATTATGAATGGGCAATTGTTAAGTAGTTACAAGGATTAAACTTAGCTTTAAATTGTATCATCTGGAAGACTATCTCCTTTCACTTACGTGTAGTTCTAGAGTGGACAATGCCTGTTCACTTAGATCATCATATTTAGTGTCAGATATGACAGAATATCAGTCTATCTTTTTGTTTTATTGAGCTTATTGGTACATTCTAGGTATACACTGCTCAGTCTATTTTTAAGAGGAGAAAAGAATTAGTTCATAGTAAAGAGCCTTTTTTTCATTAAATCATATGTTCCAGGCTATAATCTCTAGACATAATCTAAAAGAGGAAGAAATAAAAGGGCAACAAAATATGTAAAGAAAACCAATAAATAACAAATTAATTTAGTAATATTTAACAAACATTTTTAGTAAGAGTTTAAGCATAACAACAAGCACTGGAGGTGAGGACAGCCAAAATGAGCTCAATCTTGGGAGCAGCCTATATGTTCATTTACAGCTGAATGGATGAAGAAAATTTATTTACACACAATGAAGTACTACTGTGCAATAAAGAGATAAATTTGAGGGGGATGCATAGTGAGACCATAATGTTAAGTGAAATAAATCAGACACACAAGCTTAAATATGGCTATGGTTTCTCTTACATGAGAAACCCAAATTACTAATAAAGAGCCAAATAAAAGGTAATAGAAGTGGGGAAATAGATCTTTTTCAAATAGGTAGGGGATCAAGAGATGGAAGCAGGGGAAGGAGAGAAGGGAAAAAGATGAAAAAAATTGATTGAGATGTGTCATGTACATGTACCAATTCCACAAAAGGAATGTAATCATTATGTACTGCAAACATGTACTTAAATTAAAAAAAAAAAAGAAATGGAAACATTTAACAAAGCGAGGAAAAGTGGGGAGGTAATTTAAAGGAATCAATTAAGAAAGTTCTGAAGCTGGAAAAGAAGTAAAACCTATAAAGAAGGAAAAATAACCTTAAGTATCAGAATCAAATTGCAGACTAGGTGATAAATAATAATGAAAACACAGCACTTCCTTTGTGTTTTGAAGGGACAAATCTGTAATAGTGACACTTTATCACATGTTGATTTTTATGTACATCTTTCTTCTCTGTCTCTTTTTATTTTTTTTAAACAGGGAATACTCTTAAAGAGCAGGATAGCACCTTACAGAGTTGTCCCTACATAATTTGCCTCAATAAATAAATGACCATTTGGTTGCAATAAACAATTTACTTTGGTGCTAGAGGCTTCTAATTCACCATCTATGACACTCTTAATAGCATGACTAATTCCCTCCTACCATGATCTCTGTCAGACTTAAAATCCTATGTCTAAAAAATTAGGAGGCTAAAAAGGATTACTTTTCCAGGTTGAAGTACTGTAATAAAAAGATCTGCTAGTTATGAAGTGTAAATTAGTACATGTGCAATAGTTAATAAGTTGTCCATAAAGACTTTGGAGAGTTCTAGGACCTCAATTTGTTAGTTAAGTGGGCAAAGTTCTGTTTTTTGGCATTTCTTCCTCTTACTGTGTTTTTCTCTAAATTGCTTACTTCCACATTAATCTCTCATCTAAAATTTATAATTTCTAACGTTTATCACCTTGTAACATAATTGTACTCAGATATGTTTTCTTCGCATTTCTATAAAGGCAGAAACTCTCTCATAACATCAATAATGGCGCACTAGAATGTTCTGGACAAAAGAGAAACTTAATAAAAGCTTGCTAAATAAATTATTATTTTGACAATTAATGGAAAAGAAGTTAGAAGACCATAAAAGAAGAATGCATGAACATTAAACATGGTGATGAAGATGTCTGATCATTTTTACTAAATAAGCATTTTTTTAGATTATCCACCTTGAGTTATTTTCTTATATAATTCCCTTTATCATTATTAGAATCATAGAATTCAAGTCATAATGTTGAAAATATTGAAACTTTCCATTTAGCCAAGTGTAAATCTGGCAGTCTTTTCCAGGAGGCATAAGAGCTTAGAAAAAGCAGATATAATGCTCTCTTAAAATATGAGATGAGTGTCATAAATTAAAACACAAGTAATAATGTAAAAAACTGAATAAAATTCCTGTTTTTTCACTATACTAATCTTAACCATTTACAGAAAAATCACAATACTCACCATAAACTGAATCTGTTTTAAAACAGTTTATATGTAAAAACAACCCAAATAACTAAAGATAAATGTTTAGTAGTACCATTCTAACTTGTTAAAGATACGAAAAAGGAAAAGGAGGATGGAGTTAATAGAACCCACAGGCTACTGATGTGGCAGTTTATCAAATGTAGTTGTAATGAAAGATAAATAATACAAGCAATTCACACTTCATGAAAGGATAAAAGTGTCAGTGTGTAGGTACCAGTTTTACTGCAGGCCATAATCAGCAAGTAAACGAAAGTGCAATGTCTAAAAAGTTTATAGCCCTCTATGAAGGCCTCGTCTTGTCAGGTATGATTTAAGTATTCAGACGACTTTAGTGGTACTAAACAAATTGAGTGTTTGTGAACTTAGAGGACATGTTCTATTTCTCCCCACAAAAGTTGCCTCAAGCTTAAAGTGAAGTTGCTTCTATTGTTCATATTTAAGGAAAGAGAAGAAAATGCTGAAATGATCTCTCACACAATTATTTTCTTCTTAAAGAGAGGGCAATCCAAAGTGAATGTTTCATACTCTCCACCTTCTCCACATACATGAACTCCATACTTCTTAGAAAGCTGGAATAGGAAAAAAATAAAATAGAAAACTTAAAATTAAGACAGTAAAATGCTCATTTAACCTGTATCATTTTATCTTAAAAAATCATGCAGAAATCTTTGACTCCAAAACAAAGTGTAATGTTACAGGAAAATAACTATCTGCTTAAAAGATACAATTAAAGCCATTTAAAAATTACCACAAAGCACAAATTTTTAAAAATAATCCAAAACTTTCATATAGGTATAAGGCTAGTATTTTTCTTTATAATGGCAAAGCTTATAAGTTACCATGAATTGTAGGAATGGTATCAGCTTTAGTTTCAAAGGATTTTAAGGCACTGTGTAGTGAATGAAAATATATACAGCCAAACTGTGCTGCCCCTGCCCTTTGACCTTTATGTGGAACAGGAAAAATATGTTGTTTTTAGAGAATTTCTCAGGGACATAGAGAAAAAAAGCAGGGCCTTCCTGTAGCCCTGTGAACAAAAGGGAGTCACATGCATGGTTATTATACTTCAGACTATCATTATTAGGAAACTCCCAGAAGTAGTAAAAAGCAGTAACATTCCAAAGCTGTAGAAGGCCTTAAAAGGTTCAATCCAAAAAAGGTGGAGAGAGCTTGTAAAGTTTTCAGTCAGATTTGAAATTTAGAAAAGCAAGCAAGGAAAAAAAAAAACAACCTATGTTTTACATTAAATTTAAGTCATACTATTCAAATTATTTTGATATCCAAAAGAAAAAAATTTGTTTTGATGGCATCAGTGCAGAGAAGCAGTCTCACTGACTGTGTTGGACAGGAATCTTTCAGCTTATGTGTTGAGGCTGTGTCACTATAATTCTGTCTCCATTCTGAATGTCACAGCTATCCCCACTTATACCTTCTGCTCCAATGTCCGCACAGCCCGAAGAAGAGTGATACCTTTGATGTTCTATTACTGCCAGTGCTAGACTATTGCCTAAGTCATCATTTTGAGATGCACAGTTATACATCTATTTATTTGGTTTTCATAGTTGTGCTACTATGCTGAATTCATTAAATTTCAACTGTTGACTATGTGCCTGTAGGGATTTAAAGCACAGATCTATGAAGGTTCTTTTTCTTCGACTAAGGATCAGCAATAATGTGAATAGCACTGTAAAGCCAAAAAAACAAGGACAGGGAGGAGAAGAAAATGATGCAGTGTTTTCTATAAAAGCTTTCAAGAACAAAGCAGATATATTTTCATCTTGCTGGAGTCATGAAGTAAGACTAAGAGGCCAAAGTATGAGTAGTGGTCCTATGGGGCCAAATAACAGGAAGAGACTACTCTGTCATATTATAATAAATTAAATTAAAATCTGCTTTACAATAAATGCATAGGAATAATAATGTGACCTGGACTTCAGGCATATTTTTCTGTTCTGCCAGCTAGTATCTATGCCCATGTGTTCTCCGCTGGTCTCTCATGCCAGTAATTTTCTGGAAAGGGAACCTTGTACTCTCACCTCTATGACTGGCTAGTCTGTTTAAGTGGAAAGTATGCATTATCAATTATTAACTTTTTTTAATAGAAAGTGCTTCATTGTAGCTCTGCATTATTTTTGTAATCAACAAAGCATGACTATTTTTAAGTTAAAGTTTGTGTATGTTATATCCAACAAAAATGGTTCTATCAATCCTTAGTAAAAATAATGTAAGCTGCTATATAAAACTAATATTTACTCCTATAAATTATAGCACTAATATTTAAAAATTATTCATTTAAATATGCATGTTTCCAGTTTACATGCTTTTATAACATTTATTCATTCAATCAATTCTTCAACAAATCTTCATTGAATAATTATTAGCCAGGCCTTGATGAATGATGAAGAGCCTAAGGTAAACAAATATCTTTGGTTCCTTGAAGTTTCCCAAATACAGTATACTGTCTAGTATCACTAAAAAATGATGTGATTTCAGAATTAATATATACAATCTCGTCTCCATAAATTAATTAATACATATAATCTCTTTTCTTTTTATTATTGATGGATCAGTATGTACACATAGATTCCAAGTTAAGGAATCAAGAAAAAGGACAAAGTGGTTTTAAGGTCAAGAACTAATGCCTAGTCTATGAATCCTTATGATGTTTTTGGTATCTCCACTAAACTCCACTTCCTTCAAGTTCAAACACAGATAAGTACTGAGAGAGAGAAAAAAAATCATCTTTATTGGTTTCTTTAGCCATGTCGAAGGCTGTGTGGTATCTTGGGAGAACCTCAAGAAGCAAGCCTTATGGTAACCACTTTTGAAAGACACATCACTTTTTAAAATGAAACTCTGAGAGCACAAAGCATGATATAGGCATGTAATACAAAGTGTCATTTTAGATAAGTAAGGTATCCAGATGTCCACATTCCAAAATGTATTAATACTGAACAATCTTCAATTTACTTCAATTTTCTAAAACTTGTAAGTTAACGTTACTAATAGTTTAACTGTTCATAGAAAGCAGCAACTTTATTCTTAACACATCTAGCAGCAACTTTATTCTTAACACATCTCAGATCTGTATCTGGTTTCACCGTAAAATTCAGATTACTGTATGTTAGCACTTAATCAGGCCAAATATAATCTTTGAAATTTTTCTTCTATGTTTTTCTATGAGCATCACTGTAGTAAAAAGTACTAAATAATTGTTTTTCTAAAATTTTCTCTCTCTGAATTTTGTGATTCTTTCTGTAATTAATACAATAGCAATCTACATTGAAAAATAAACAAGTATTTTAATGTTAACTATTCTCTCACTAAGAGCTAATATTTTAATGATTAAAATATATTTAAGTTATATAGCCAGGTGTGGTGGTGCATGCCTGTAATCCCAGCACTTGGGAGGCTGAGGCAGGAGGATTGCTGTGAGTTTGAGACCAGCCTGGGCTACATAGTTAGTTCCAGGTCAGTCTCAACTATATAGTGAGACCCTTTCTCAAAAAAAGCAACAACAACAACAAAAAAAACAAAACAAAACAAAAGACAAAACAAAACAAAAATATTTAAGTTTTAGTATATGAAAAATACAGGTTTTTAATAACAAAAACATGACAAATAGGCCAGAAAATTTTGCTTTTTTGCTTTACACACAGAGAACTAAGAATACAATGCTTTGTGGATGTGCTAAATTATGGACTGATCAATCTTTTCCTACGTGAGTGAAGTTTTGTGATTACTTTCTTAACTGAAGAACAGAGAGAGGAGAACCAACAATTCATAGAATAGGGCAACTTCAGTATATACAGAAAAGAGCCAAACTCATGGATTTGTGGACTTCCATAGGGAGTCCAAGGAGTATGTTTGGCTAGCCAGTATTTTTTCCCAGTAGTGGTAAATTGGGAAGTGGCCACACGCATCAGGCTGGGGACAGGGCAGAAGAGAGGAGAGTGACTCCTTGGGGAATATTCAATGTTTTCTACTGAAGTTTCATTGAACCAAAGGCAGATGGACTGAGAGATTTCCTCTGAGACTTGGAGAGACTGGGAGAAGTATATTTTTGAAGATGAATTTTTGAAGATGTATAAAATTTTGGTAGCAGGACTGTCTGTAAAGTGGCATTAGGGAATGGGGACTCTCAGTGAAGGCGAATTCCAACACCTGAAACAAGCACAAACTGAAATGAAACAAAACTTACAACTTGACTAGAGATTAGACTGAAAAGAATGAACACTCCAGACTAGTTAATAGGAAGATAAAGGGGTGGCTTTTTCTGGGGTAAATATTATTTATTTCAGTTTCTGTTACCCTTTCTTACTTTTTTTTTTTTTGGGGGGGGTACTGGTGATTGAACTTGGGTCCTTGCGTTTGCAAAGCAGGCAGCAGAACCATTGAGCTAAATCCCCGGCTCCTCAATACTTATCATAAAATATGTTTTAATGATTCAAAAAAATAGCAGGGCATGGTGGCATAGGTTGTTTTCCTGGTAAGATCTTGTGGGGATGTTATGAGCATTAAACACGATGATATATACAAAGCTCTTAACACAAACCTGGCACATAAAAAACACTCAATACATGTTTTCTCTTCTCTGTTAGTTTAGTTTGCCCTGTCACAGGGCTTTCTGGTCTTTTCTCTATAGACTCACTTATTGAGGATCATGGCCACTACTGCATCTATTATTTCTATGCAGCTGGCTCTTAAATAAAAAAGCCTAATCACCAAGCTTTCTCTTGTGTACATATTAGATATCCCTGCCCATTTTACTGAATGTTTTACTTGGAAGTATTGTTGTTTTAAATTCAACAAAAATAATACAAAGTTTTGGTTTTTCCTCAAAATGTTCTGTGCTGAATTCCATGTCTCTAAGAGTTGAGTAAAGCTTGAAATCCTAGACTAGAACTTAACCCTGTCCTTTTTTTTCTATATTTAGCCTACATTTTAGGAAATATTACTTAATTCATTCAGTGAATTAACAAATACTTGCTCAGTACTAAATGACAGGTTATATTTGACATGCTTGGGATATGGCAGTAAGACAGATAAAGTGCACAATTTACTCCATTCTAAATCTTGATGACCACTCTGTACTTGAACTATTAACAATCTCTTGTTCCTGCTTCTTTCTACCTTTCAAATCTTTCACGCATTATCACCGCACTGATTTGGCTTAATACTACATGATTATGGCATTCATGTGCTCAAAAACTTTGGTAACTGACCAGTGCCTACTCAATAAAACTAAAAAGCCATTTGGTCCTATCCTTAACATAAATACGAAGGTACAAAGCTAATATATTAGATAAAATAAAATAGAGATTTAAAGGCTCTTGATTAACATAAATAAAAACGATAATCTTACAAAGAAATATATAAACTGATAAACATGCACCAAAATGTTGTCTCCTCTGCAGCTTACAGAAATCAGTGTTTTTACTGCCTGGGGATATCTTATTCTACCCTGAGACTTATATTTCTGTATTGCATCACTATGTTACTTCTTGAATTTGACAGTCTTTCATTAGTGCCTCTTATCTTATGAGACTGTTTCTAAATTTTCTAACCT